TCTGCTTTGATTTATTTATTCTAGTCGTGCCCAATCATATGGTTATATGCAATGGGATCCATCAAAGTGCTTGGTTTATTGTGGCATCAGTACTTGACCCATCCATGGGGTGGGTGATGCATATGAGTTAAGGGAATTACATAGAGAGATACAACTACAACAGCAATTCTGTATCCTTTGTGAAAGGGTATAAAAGAAACCTGAAATATCATTCAGAATAACTGAGAAAAAGATAATTCTAGCATAAGCTACCTTGGACTACAGTCTACTACAGAAGATGCAGTGAAATGAACTGGAGTCCACAAAAACTAGGAAATTCCTTTTCTCCATTACTCTCAGAGGTGCTACAGGACTCATATATACCTTTTTTGTGATTATACAAAGAGACGCAGCCCTGTCTACTCTCTGGGATCTTTCTTCTGATCAGATCTGCCCTCCCCCTCTTTTTCAAGCAGCTGCTATAAAAACTTTTTAAAAACTTGGACATCTGCCAGTCAATCATGCCTCAATTTTAAAAGCAAGCCTGGAAGATTATGACTTCAGTGTCTGTGGGTCTAAGAACAAACCACACAACTTTGGGAGGTTTTTGCAACAGGGCAAAACAGAGCCCTGGCTGGAGATGAAGGATGGCCCAGTATTTGGGCTTGCTTTGTTTCAGATTCCAGGGCCCCAACATCCTGTGGGGAGGGGAGGTCAGGAGGCAAAGTCCTTTGGAGCATCCGCTTTGTTTATTTTCCTTTTTATTAGCCCAGGAGAGGCTGTTTTTAAAAGCTCCCTCCTCCTCATGTGATACTTCCTGAAAGCTTGTCCTCCTGAACTTCTATTACCTGAAATAAGGGAGGGCGAAGTGGGAAAAAGAGAAGAAAAAGCAAGCCTTAGTTTAGCAATGCAACAGGAAATTGGAGGAAGGGAAGGTTTGGTGCAAGGGTTGAGGCAGGCAGCCCTGAAGTCAGGATAACTTTTACTTCCTCCATTTTTTTTGGAGGGGGGGGATTAAAAGTATTTTCATCTGCTGACTGTCAAATATTTATGTGAGGGGGCAAACACACACACATCCCATTTCTGAGTTCTTCCGCAATGAGGACACCAGTTTCCATCTGGAAGGCAGTCCTGGTCAGGGTTGGCTTGACGCGCCTTCCTCCTGGCACATTTCTCCCTTTTGTCCTCTCTCCATACGTCTTTGAATTCTGAATCACTGCTGGTCACAGCTGACCTTCAGTCAGAGTTCTCAAGGGTCAGGGCTTCCCAGTTCTTGGTGTCTATGCCACAGTTTTAAAGGTTGGCTTTAAGCCCATCTTTTAATCTCTTTTCCTGTCCACCAACATTACGTTTTCCGTTCTTGAGTTGGGAGTATGGTAACTGCTTTGGAAAATGGTGTTTTGGCATTCAGACAATATGGCCAGTGCAGTAGTTGATGGCATAGGAATATCACTTCAGTGCTGGTGGTCTTTGCTTCTTCCAGCACACTGACATTTGTCCACCTATCTTCCCAAGATATTTGCAGGATTTTTCAGACACAATATTGATGGAATCGTTCCAGGAGTTGAGTGTACCATCTGTAGACAGTCCACGTTTTGCAGGTGAATAGCAGGTTTGGGAGGACAATAGCTTTATAAATAAGCGTCTTGGTCTCCCTATGGATGTCCCAGTCCTCAAACACTCTCTGCTTCATTCGGAAAAAATGCTGCACTCATAGGGCTCAGATGGCATTATATTTCAGCGTCAATGTTGCCTTTTGTGGAGGGATGGCTGCCAAGGTAGCAAAAACGGTCAACATTTTCTTTGTATAACATAGAGAGGGGTTAACACCCTTGTGGTCTTTGTTTTGATGTCTGTGCCCCTGTTCAGAAGATTTCACTTCACTTTCTGTCCCTCTGATTGGATTTTGAAAAAATGGCTTGTTGTAGGAACAAGGATTGGTGATAAAGGTTCAGTGGAAACACTTTTCCCCATGATAACTCTTTCAGGAGTGAATTTCCTTTCCCAGGGGTAGATTTCTCTCACTTCCTGTTGTCTCCCCCCAGTTCTTAACTGTGAGTAACTTGTAAGTTGAATGTTTATAACTTTAGAACTGCCTGTACTTTAAAAATCTGAGTGTCCTCACTCACCATGGTCCTTCTTCAACAACAACAACAACAGATCACAGGGTACAGGATGAGGCAGCTCTTCAACCATGTGAAACCACATCCTTATAACTGCACACTTACTATAACTTCAAAAGTTAAGCCATACTGCAAAAATATTAAAATAATTCCTCATTAAGCCATAATAATAACACAATGTAATTATACCTTTACTTATGGGGAAAGGAGCCTGCTAAAGTGAAAAGGTAATCAGTTCCAAGCTCTGGACCATGTACACTTTTTGGGAATATTCCAGATTGAGTAAAGGTTAAGCAATGTCTTTGGGAGCCAGGCATACTGATGGGAATAAAAGCTCTTGCCATGACATCCCCCAAAATTACACAGGGAACTGTAGCCAAAAGACTTTTTAGACCATTTGCAATCAGTCTAAGAAATTTATATCCCTCTCCCTCACCTCCTCTTCCGCTCATGTACTCTGTTAGTTCCCTGGCCCAAGGACCTTTCTGCTTTTCTTATATTTCTCCCGTCAAGTTGCAGCTTACTCCATCTAACATCATATGGTTCTTACTTACTTATCACAGCTGTACAGCCCCCCCTCCAATCTCTACTGCATTTTCTTTCAACTTCTTTCCCTTCCTGCTTTAAGGTCCCCACCTCTTTCTGGGCCCCTTCTTTTAGAAGCAGCTTATCTAGCCGCATTGTCTCTTACCTTTACCTCACTCCACTACAAATCACATCTGCGTGGGCTTTGTAAATTCCCCTTCAAACATTTTACAGAAATAATTGAGATTGATTTGCAAACTTCCAAAGGCTAGGCTTGTTCGTCCCTAGTTTAGAAGAATGCAGAATACGATTGCCTCATTACCTCATTTGTTGAAATTCTCTGGGGTTTCTTTTAACTTATTGCTCAGTGCTTTTGAAACTCTCATTACTCACTATGCTGTTGTCTTCATTTGATAGCAATAAAGATTGGATGTTTTCTGAGTGGTAGTTTTAACTGAGCAGACACTTAACCGCTTTCAAAACATGAAGTGTCTCATTACTTAGCAAATGCAGTATGTAAACAGCCATTTATCTTAATTGGTGGTAATGCACAAACCAGGAAGGTTAAGTATAATTCAGCAAACACACTGGGATGTTTCCAGGCTTCAGTGCGTGCTGCACTGATACTCCCATCAAGAACAAACCACTGAAATGCCACAGCAACTGCCTTGCTAATGCAGATGTTATCCTACATACTCTGCTAGTGTCTCCTTCTTCTGAGAGTGACTTCCAGGTGCTTCTGAAATATAAAATACTATGGAAAGTGAACTGATGGGACAATAAGAAAACAGCTCATAATTTAAATATAATCAAAGTGTTTCAAGTAAAATCAATCGTTGTGCTATTCTGTTCCAGATTTTGTTTCTTTTCTGCTTTTTGCTGCTAAAATTTGTATTTACTTTATGGAAAATATACCTTTGCTACAAAATGCGCTTTATATGTGTGTGTGCATATGTGTGCGTGCATAGTGCAATCATTTTTTAAATGTACTGTGGTCATCATGTCTATGTGCTCACAACTCACAGATTTAATTCATTGTTGCACATTTGAATCCTCAGTGGTGAACACACCAGTTGTCTTTTTCTGTCTTTAGGATGGGCAGGCTTCCTTTGCAAGGCAGAATGGGGCAGCTGGTAGGACTTGCCATCACTACTCCTGCTACTCTTTGCAATTTCTAATAGGGGCTTACTGTATAAGTCCATTGAGACTGGGAATGCAAGATGAGGCTTATATAGTACACTCCTATTAAAATGCATAGGGAAGCAGTTGAGGCATACCCCCCTTTTCATGCTCTCTTGCTTCTGGGGAGTCTGAAAAATGTAGCGCTTTTGGTGGCATGGGCTTGCTACGGCCTCAGCTGCTACCCTATGCTATTTTTAAGGGACTTGAGGATGCATGATTTTTGGCATCTGCAGAGGGACACACAGAGATACTGTGGTCCATGGTATATTTTGCTCAAATGGGTAGTTTGTGATCATGGGCATCCTGTCCACTTAAGATTTGTGATTTTCAGGCCATTGATCAAGATGATTCAATATTTTTCTTTATTTTGATCATATACTTAGTCATTAACCCATCTAACTAGCAATAGTGTTGCCTGCCTGCTTTCCTGCCTGCCTGCTTCCCTCCCTGGATTTACCTGTACTTGCCCCTTCATCCTTTTAGCTAAATCCCTTGATACAGAGAGATGCTATGCATGGTGCCCTGCCACTGAGTCTCCCTCCCTTAAGATGCCTGTCTTTTTCTGAGAGTGTGAGTGCTCCTTGCAGGGATCTAATAATGAAGGATCAATTTCTCTGCAATGTTGTATTTGCTGGGTTGTATACTTAGAACATATTTCTTTTGCATTACTAGTCATTAGAGTTTCTACATCTCTGAATGTGGCTATCATTCTGTGTGTTTACCCATTGTGTTCCACAATAGAAATAGAAAGGTCTATGCAGTTAGATGTGCACCTATCACGTATTAAAAATGTGAAATACTGTCCTCCAGGATGATTTTCTTGTTTTTATCAAGTATACCTGGAGCATTTACTGTATATCACTGCCATCAGGTTATTGCAAATGTCTAAAACAGCCACTAGGTGACAAAGTACACATATTTTCATGACTCCAACTTTCAGTTAAGGGGCCCCATATGGGGTCATACCCCACAGTTTAAAAAGCTTTTCTTTAGACTATAATTGTCCTATAGGTCATAGAACAAACCACCATTTGTTTTCCCTATGTAGTTTGTTCTTCTCCTATCCCAGTGGTTCTCAACTTGTGTGTCCCCAGGTGTTTTGGCTTACAACTCCCAGAAATCCCAGCCAGTTTCTCCTATCACCAGAGTTTGGGAACTGTTAAAAATAATGGTTATGTTTATATCTTTCAGCTCTGAAAAGATCTTTTGAGGTTGAAGAGGTAGATCAATCATCAAATTCTTCCACTCCTCAAAGACGGACACCCAATACACTTGTTCGGTCTACAGTATCCAGCTCCACACAAAAATTCCAAGATCTTAGTGCCAGTCCTTCCAGACATGTGGATCCTTCTGCACAAAGATCTCCCATGTCCTCTCTGAAAAGAGTTGATATCTCTGGGCCAAAACATCCTGAAACAGTGTCCAGAAGAACAGAGATCTCCATTGACATCTCATCTAAGCAGGTGGAGAATTCCACAGCAGGAGCCACAAGATTTGGCATGAAGAGAGCAGATGTTTTGGGGCACAAGCCCCCTGAGACCGCTCCCAGAAGGACTGAGATCAGTATAGGCAAGCCTCAGGACCAAGCTCTCCGCAGAATGGAGGTTCCCACAAAGATCCCAGAGCCAACACAACGTAAAGTTGACGCCACTAGTCCACCTATGCCTGATGTTGCCACCAAACGTGTGGAAATCCAGGTAACAAAATCATCAGAGGCCCCAATACCACCTGCCAGGCAAATTGAAAATGCAGAGCACTTCCCAACCAACCAGCACCTGCCACCAGAACCAAGACTACACCTAGGGGGAATGTCAGAGGGTTTCCCCAAAAGCCAAGAAGGTAAGTGAAGGAATGGTTGTTTTTTAAACTGCCCATCTTTGCTTGTGTATAAAGTTACTTGAATTGTTCTAATGCTGTTCTGCTATCCATATGGATTATTATTGTCAGCTGCTGTTTTTAAATTAGATAATTAATATGTTTGCTCATATTTTCATTGCATTTGGATGATTGACATGTGTTTTGTGCTGTTTCAATTAAATGAATGGACTGTAAGCCTGTCTGTGTAGTAATTGCAAAATGGACCCATGTTCAGATGCACTTTGTGACTTTCCTATGTTACAGTGTTAACACAGTAATAGTACAGTGCTTTTTTTGATCTGGTAATAGTTTAATGTAATGTTTTAGCATAAATTAAATCATTGATTTAAAAGCTTGATGCCTCCAGATGTTTTAGACTTCAGCTCCCAGAAGCTTCACTGCCTTGGCCAATGATCAAGAATTCTGGAAGCTGAAGTCCAAAACACCTGGAAGACCAGAGGCCACTTTGAGAACAGAGAGCTCTGATCTGTGGATGATTATTGGGAATATCTCACTTCAGAACTTCTGATGATTTGGTACAAACTGGGAATTCAAGAATGCTGTCTTTTTAAAAAGGAGTTAGCTCTGGTGAAGGTTTGCTGTTGAGAACCTTATCAGGGCTGCAATTGCCTTATGTGGTTGAGTATCTCGAAAGGCAGATTGGATATACTTAATTTAGAAAAAGAGAGTACTGGGAACATCTCCCTGAGGAAAGAGTTCAGCCAACAAAGTTGTAATGTGCGCCTGATTTTCGCAGCAGTCCATTTTTGCCTGATGTTTGTTGTACAGAATTGTATTATTGTAACAAATAAAGCAAATGAAAAACAGTCTTTCTATTTAGTGAAATTTGGGATTCTTTTCCCTCTGGATACTGTAATTGGAGATAATATTTTTTTTCTATGGACTAAAGCCGCTTGTAAATTTGCATCTCTGTTTTATGTTAGTTCTATATTGTTTTCAGTTAATCTCTGTGTTATATCACTTCCTTTCATTTCCTACTCACTTAGTCTTCATTCTCTCCTCTACTAGGAGTAATTTTCCTGTCTAATATCACATATTCTTCCTGTCCAGTCCATGAAATGTGGTGCATGTTAGTTGATAATTTGGAGACATTCTCCCTGCCTATTGTTGGCTCTTCAGATAAACAGCTTCTGCAACCATTTCTGCCTTGCTGCTTTACCAGCTATCCCATCAGACATTGCAAGTAGGATTGAGGGGTTTTTGCATCTCCTCTGGGACACATGATAGAAGTTATTTCTTTTCTCTCTTTTGCTCCAGTTGCCTTCACCCTTTGAAGCCCGCAAATTTCAAAATGCCTGTGCAACATGTTAATGGGGTGTGTTGTTTCATTTTGTGAGGTATGTCAGAAGATGTTTGAGTTTCTAATCAGTTATCAAGGGAACATACCTTTGATTGGGGTTATTTGATTTAGTAGCCCTGGAAAGCATGTTCATTTGCTCCATACAACCATCAACTATTCCAGGGTTGCTTTTTCTTTTAATGTTCTTAAACTTCCTTAGCTGGACTTATCACTCATACCCTGGAACAACTGGAAAGGGCTTCCACAATACCCCCCTTACCAAAGCACATTAGGAAAGAACTGTACTTTATTGTGTATGGACAAGCAAGTATCTTCTGGATATTTTCTGGAACATGGCCATACAGCCTGGAAAACTCACAGCAACCAGTGATCCCAGCCATGAAAGCCTTCAACAACATAAGAAAGTATCTTCTTTCATAAAGTCTAGATTGTGAGAGAAGTGAAAACAAGACCTAATCCAAATGAAAATAAATGGAAGCGAGAAAATAGCTCCTAAACACAAACATTAGCAGAAACAGCAGCAGAAGAAAGATGCAAAACAGCAAAGAGTGAAACAAAAGAATATTTGGCTCATCTCTGTTTGCACAGAAACAAATTATATGGCAACACAACTGTATTGATCAGAGGCAATGTGACCCATCCATTTAAACCCTTATCTTAGTGTGATCTGAGTTCCCTGGAGAGCTGAGATTAGCATCATGTGGGATAAAGCTCTTCACTGGAGTCTGGAGACAGAAGCTATGCCATAGCAAACAGCTGCCTGAAAGTGGGGATGTGGGTGACTTAAAGGGGTCTCCAGTGTCCCAGGACAGCTGCTGAGGGTAAGGCTTGAACAATGACAGCAACTGTCTGGCAGGAGATTTAAAGCATGAGGCAGCAACATTCAGTGAGATAAATACAAAGGGGTCTTTTAGTTCTATAGATGCTCTGTGTCTGCTACAAGAGCAGAGGAATTGAAAGCAAATGGATGGGATAGGCCTTGCATCTCTTTATCTGTTCTTCTGTGTTCAAATTTATTGCCCAGAAAAAGCATTGATTTGGTTGCTCTAAAGATGTCCAGGTACCAACACACTCTCATCTCTTCAATTTCTTCTTTCTCCCATGCAGCTCTATCATTTGCATTGACATTGTCCATATCATGGGCAAAGGTATCTCTTTGGTCTTTTGTATCTGTTGAAAGATGGTTACTATGATTTTGTGGGTGAAGTTTATCAAAGTGAATGAGGGGTTTCCTCTGAAATTCTGGTCAATTTCAAAAATTCTGGAGAATGAACCCAAGACAGTCCTTGCCTGTGCCAATATTCCACTTGACTCCAAAAGATGCAGTTCTCTATTATCTTTATTATTTGAAGAATATCCCTGGATTATTTTCATTTTTTTGTATCAGGAGTAACTTAAGATAGGGTAATGGAAAGAGTGGTTTCAGATTAGAGTACAATATTGCTTAGAGTACAATATTAGAGTACAGTATTGCTTTGTATTAAAGTCTTGGTGGCACAGAGCTAGGGAGGGATAAAAAAGAAAAAAAACCTTTATTTTGAACATATAAAATCCGGTCATATGCTATAGATGCCACTGATCTCCAGCACTATTCTTGTATGGATGAGAGTAGAAAAAATGAAAAAAGGCATCATTTCTTTTTAAAAAATAAGCATAACTTCTGTGTCAGGTTTGATTCTAATAACTTCCCCTCTTTTTCTACACTTATGTTTCAACCATCTATTTTTCCTAAAATAAATTTACACCAATGTAAATGTACCTTTGGTGGGATTTGGCTCCAGGGCTCTCTATAGATACCAGTATCTATGGATGCTCACATGCCATTATGTACAGTGGTGTCGTAATATGACGCCCCTTATATAAAATGGCAAAATCAAGCTTTGCTTTTGTGTGTGTGGCAATATTTTCAAACCATGTATGATTGAATCCGTTGATGTAGAATTCATGGATATGGGAGGCGACTGTATTTTACCTTTAGGCAGCTATTGCTGGACCGCAAACAATTATTGTTAACAAAAGGTGCATCATCAAGGGTGATTCCTTGTGGCCAAGTATGATTGTCTTTTAAAGACAGAGTTTAGGCAGTGAGTCTGTAAGTGACTTTTGGATCTGCATAGTCTTTCACAATGAATACATAGATTTCTAGGTGGAAGACGATCCCAACAAGGGTTTACTTGATGAGCATTCCTGTTATCCATTTCTCCCTTTCATCCTCTATTCGTGCCTCTTAAAAATCCATTGCATTGTTGATAACTACAGTGTCCATATGGTCTACATTCTAAAATTCGTTTGTCTTTTTTGACTGCAAGGTGGTGACCCCTCTGGATGCAGCAGTTCAGTTAGGGATAAATAAGAGAGGCAAACAGTGCTTAGGGCACCCTTTCTTGCCCTTTCCCCATATGGGGTGAGCAGAGTGGATCCTAAAAAGGGCTGCTCATGTCATGGATACAGCTGCCAAACTATTCAACTGCCTTAGACCTTGAGTTAGAATGACTGGATCCATATCCACTGCGTAGGTATCGGTCCATAGCTGGGGGCTTCTAGATTTCACAGTCCTGCCCCCATCACCATTTGCTGATCACCATGGGACTTTTGTTGTTTTTGGTTTGACCTGTAAGATGCCTGTGCATGAATTTGTTTTATGTGTGGAGATCAGTGCACAGTGATCAACACACAATCTTCACAAAAATGGCATGGTTAACATGACAACTGATGGCCTCTCAGCAGTCTTCACAGCTATTATAACGTACCATATTATTATCTGCCTGCTCTGCCACTGAGGTTTTCAGATTGTTATTTGTCTGGTTCCACCCCTTTGACCACACTGCCATGGGAGATCCCTCTGGGAGAACATGCTTCCTATAGCTTTGCTCATAGGAACACACAAGCCCCCTCACTACAACAAGGTGACAATGAAGTGAGGAGGATGAAAGGTGCATATTACCGAGGACCCTATTTATAAGACATGTATTAGAGGCATTATTTGATAAAGCCTCCTCCCAGCTTTTCTGACAGTCTTTATCTCTTAGCTGATGGTCAATGGTGGCATTAATGCCCTTCAATCAGTAAGTTAAGTAACATTGTATCTAGAAGATACCAATTTGTGGAAGGTTGGTCTGTGTACTATATAATATTATACAATATGCCCCAAATAACTCAAGTAATCTATTCCAGGACCCTTCAAGTAATACCATTTTCACGTATAATCTGGAATCCTAATTTCTTTAAACATATTATGTCTTGGGTTTCCACCTGGAGGCCCACAGATGCCTAGAGAGGTGTCCTCTCTAGGTTTTCAGTCTGATTCTATGGTCAAATTCCACAACTTTTAGCAGAAGTTGACCATAGAATCACACTGGATGCCTAGAAAGCACACTTCTTCAGGCATCCCTAGGTCCTCCAGTTTGGTTATATGGATTTCAAAGCTCTTTGTGTATAACTGAGACAGTGTTCAATGAATATGTATACTAAGCAGGGCTCCTATATAATGGGAATAGCATGAATGTCTTCTAGCTATTATAATTATCTCCTAGGCAAGTGTGTGCTTTGCTCCCAGCCTCTGTTCCCTCTCTCTGTCCCTTTCCATAGTGACTTCCTATGACATGTTATTTGGTTTGAAGACACTGCACAACCCAATGTCACAAAATGAGCATTCATGAAA